CCTGGAGCAGGAACCCGGCCGAGCGCGGCCCGGGCGGAGACCCGGCGGGGCCGGCGCGGGGACGGGCAGGGACCCGAAGGAGAGCGGGAAGCTGGGGGCCGCGAAGCGAAGATCTGGGAGGGGCGTTTTAGCCTGCGAGAGTGAAGGAGCTGAGGGAAGCGGGGTTAGTGAAGCCTCCAGCGCTCGTTCGTCAGCTCAGGCGCTGTTGTTGTCAGTACGACAGAAATTACTGTAGTTGTTACGGGGTGCGGTGGAGCCTGAAGCGTCGGAAGAGTGGGAGATGTCAGAGGCACTGCAGAACAGGCCTGGGCAGCCTGGGATGAAGGGGGAGTGGTCGTCCTGCAAGGGTGGGGGCCCTCGGGCTTATTAGGGCACTGCTGGGTTGAGGCCACTGGTGGGGTTAGAAAAATCGAAACGTACTTTGTCGAACCATGTGCTCTTGGATGAAAGTGATTTCCCTCGTGTGTGGCGAGTCCTGACTGCTGTCGAAAATCACTGCGGATGTGATGTGGTGATTTTCGATCAAGCCTGCTCAGACTACAGAAAGGAAACTACTTCCTGCGTAGTTCTCAGGTAATGAGTGTGCCACTGACATGTTGTGTCCACTTACCTTTATCCAGAACAGAAACGATCGGAGTGCAGGAATGCCCTTTCCAGGCTGGAAATGTGTTTTAAACAAAATAACCTTGTACTCGCTGAAAAGTTAATGTTTTGGATTACTTCAATTTGTCTATTTTTGACACAAAAATCTTTTAAAATATTTTTTATATGTAGCCAGTCATCCTGTTCATAGTGTTTATTATCATCAAAGTGTTCTCCACCAAGTGCAAAGATAAAGATGCTTTTTAGCTGAAGCAAATGAAATCCCAAGATCTAAATGCCTTGAGAAGTTATGTTGCAAGGGTTTTTTTGTTGTTTTGTTTTGTGTTTTGAGATAGGGTCTTGCTGTGTAGTACAGACTGGCCTTGTACTCACTAGGTAACCCAGGCTAGCCTCGAGCGTGCAGCGATCCTCCTACCTCAGCCTCCCAAGTACTGGGATTACAGACATGCACCACCATGCCTGGCTGGCAGCAGTTTTAAAAAAAATAGTCATTGTATTAGTAATGCTAGGCTGGAAGCACAAACAGCTTACCCCTCTTAGGAGTCAACTAGATTCAGATGTTTTTAATATCTGTACATAAGGGCTGAAAAAAAAGGAAATATAATGACTATAAAGGGAAATACATAATTCAGGACAGAAAAAGTTTATTGTCTTAGGAAAAGATTCTTTATATTCCCTATAAATTTATACCAGTATGGTAATGTCCTCATGTAGTGGTAAAATAGCTTGTTAGTTATACGCAACAATATTACATGACCTTATGTATCTCTTCAGACTCCAAAGGTTCTCCAGATGGCTAAAGACATACCTCCTGGCAGAGCCACTGGAAAGGATCCTTTACCTGTGGGAATTCTATCTGAATGTTTCTATGGTGCATCAGTGTCAGGGGAGTAAGACTGGATAGAAATACTGAGCCCAAAGCATTCTAGTATGATATTTCTTGGCTAATAAGGAAGGGCACCTTATTTATTTATGCTTGCCATTAGGAAAGTTTAACCCTAGAAACAAGCTTGCTATTTTGTTTTGCTTTATGGCCCTTTACCTCAGTTCTTAATGAGAACTGACTGCTGGATTACCAGTTCTTTTCTATATCGTGGTCTTCCATAAAGATAATAGAAGCTACTCTTAAAGTGTAGTACAAATCCTATTTGAAATATTGGGACACAGCTTTTTCTACATTTTTTTCAGACAGTAAACTAAGTCTTAAAAGTATTCTACCAGAAGCAAGGTTTGGTGATGCACACCTATAGTCCCAGCACTTAAGAGGCTGAGGCAGGAGGATCACCATGAACTTGAGGCCTGCCTGGGTTACATAGTGAGAGCCGGTTTTAAAAATAAATACATACATAAATAAAAAATTTTTTAAAGTCCTATAATCAAACTCACCTGGAGGAGGGGTGGGGGTGAGGGCTAGAACCAGGTCATTTTCTCCAGCTCAGTGTTCTTTCCACTGTATGATACAGCTGTCTTTTTCTATTTCTTAAGCACCCTTTGTATTAAACATTTAACTTTCTGTTCCTAGTACTCCAGGCATTGGGGAACAATTCTTCTTCATATTCTGGGTTATTTAATGCTTTTATTTTTATTTATTTATTTATTTTTTTAGTACCAGGAATTGAACTCAGGACCTTTCACTTGCCAGGCAAGAACTTGTGCCACTGAGCTATATCCCCAGCCCTAATGCATTTTTATGAAGTGCTCAAAGTCCATATATATATATTTCAGTGAGTCTTATACTATCCCCTTTAATAAGTGGTTTCTTTGTATTGTTTTAGGAATCCCTCAAAGAATATAGATTCTACTTTCTCTTCCTTCTCATAAACCACAATGAATATTTACTGTTTTTCCATATTCCCTAGAGAACTGCAGCCTCATTTGATAGGGATGACTTGAAAAGCAATCTGGCCATAATAAATAAAGTGTATTTAGCTATTTATTTTGCTAAGGAACTATAGAGGTGAGCAGCTCAGTGGTAGAGCACTTGCCTATCATACAGAAAGCCCTGCATCTCCAGCACTGCAAAAAATAAGAAAATAAAAAACCTCCGTGGTAGAGCACACCTGTAAGGCCTATAATTCCAGCTCTGTAGTAGACCGATCACAAGTTTAAGCCCAACTTGGGCAGTTTAGCAAAAATAAAAAGGACTGGGAATGTAGTTCATTGCAAAGACCCCAGAGTTCAATCTCCAGCGCTACTAAATTAATCAATCAATAAGTAAAAATCAAGAAAAATAGAACTGCAGAAGCAGTTCTGTAAATGCAGTTATTACCTGTCAGAGGACAGAGACTTCCTTTGTGGACCTCTGGCTGCATTGTCGTGATCTGCACCAAGCACAAAAACATCAGATGTAGCATGTGATCAGCCATTGCTTATTGGATGATTAGATGATTGAGAATGGTCTGCTCAGCCACTCACATGCCCAACAGATAACCTGGAATGTGGCTCTTCAGTCTGAAATGGAAGTTTGGCTTAAATGAGATGGAATTATAATTCTTTGTCTCTATTGTTAAATTCACCATGTTATATTTGTATTCTTTGTACCTACAGCTTCTGTCTTTCCTCCCTCTCCTATACACATATTCCTGCTAGCCCTAAAACCCACTCTATCACAAAAGAAACAAAAAACTCTTCTACTTATTGCTTTATTGGTGTTACATTGTTTATTGAAGCTCTCAGGGTAAAGAATGGTTTAAACTAGATAAGTTGGGTCTGATTTAAACAAAATCTTAAAGGTAAACTTAAAACTTAATATCCAGTTCCTTGAGTATTTATTCCTCAGAATCAAATAGAATCTTGAGTCTTAATGTTGATACCATCAGATCTGTATATAGTTGTTATTTTTTGCAGTGCTGGGGATTGAACCCAGGGTCTTCCCACAGAGCTACATCCCCAACACTTTTTGCTTTTTTAAAAAAATTTTTATTTTCAAGATAGTTCCTCCTTAAGTGGCTAGGCTAGGCTGAAATTTGTAGTCCTTCTGCCTCAGACTCCCAGAGTTCTGGGATTGCAGACGTGCATAACACCTACATTGGTTAATTTATTTTGAGTATATTATTGCAATAGAATCTTTCTGTTGCCGAAGAAAATTCTTTTCTGAGTGATACGTTCCTTTTTTGAAAAAATAAAAGCAGACAAATTATTCGAAGGTGGGGAAAGGGAAAAGAGACATGGCGGTCAGCTACTCTGGATGAGTAGAGAGCATTCAAAAGAGAAATACTCCAATACATTGCTTCCCAGTCCAATTACCTTCTTTGCCTACTTTATTATTATTATTACTATTATTATTATTATTATTATTTATTTGTCTTTTTGTTTTGTTTTGTTTTGTTTTGTTTTTCTCTGGTACCAGGAACCGAACTCACGACCTTGCGCTTGCCAGGCAGGCGCTTTTGCTGCTGAGCTAAATCCCCAGCCCCCTATTTGTTTTGTTTTTCTGAGACTATAGTTCAGACTGGCCTTGAGTAGCTGAGCGTGATGGTGCATGCCTGTAATCCGAGCACTCAGGAGGCTGAGACAGGAGGATCATTGTTGAGTTCAAGACCAGCCTAGGCTACAAAGAGAGCTCAAGGCCAGCCTGAACTGTGTAGTGAAACCCTGTCTCAAAAAGACACCCCCGCTCAAAAAAAAAAATTGCAGACTGGTCTTGAACTCACTGTCTAGCCCAGGTAGGCCTTGAACTCACAGTGATCCTCCTGCCTCAGTCTTCCAAATGCTGAGATTATAGGCATATGCCCCCATGCCTGTAGCCTGTATCTTCTCTAGTTATCTTAAATGCAGTATCCCTGGGGTGTCTAAAGAGCCTTTTCAGTACCATTGTCTGTCACCGAGGACTGAACAAACTAATTACTGGCCTGTCATGTAACTGACAGCAGGAGTAGTGACTCGTTTTCTTGTGTACATTTCTTAACACTCCTTTCATCATCATCTTGTAAACTTGATGCTTCTGTTGCATACTCCTCCTCTTCTCCCCATTCTACTGAGTGGAAGAAAAGCTTCTTCCTGACAGGCCTGTTGTCCTCTTGCCAGATTCATGGCATGTCACAGTACTGTGGCCAAGTATTACTGTGTCCTCTAGACAGAGAAGAAGGCTTTGGGAAGAATGGCCATAGCTTCTTACTATTCCATTGCTTTCCTAAAGGTATTGATTCGTAAATCTGAGAATTAAATGAGGTTTGCCAGTCCAGCAGAGTGAGATTAGGAAAGATAGCTACATGGCTCTTTCCTTATCTAAGAGCTCACCTCTTAATAAGTTCCAGATGATCAAAAGCCTTCTGTGTCTCCTGGGACAACTCCCCAGCCATTTCTGCACAGTGGGCATTGATGCTGTCCAGACAACCCAGTATTCTCATACCTGAGGTCCATCCGTTTCCTGACTTACCCCTGGAGACAGTATATTCGTCACTGAAAAGAAACGCAAGATACTTTTTCTGTGGCCACTTCCTGATCTCAGAAAACTAGGGTCTTCTAAATAGATAAAGAAGAGATTAACAAAAGAAAAGGAAAAGTAAAATATATACCTTTTTCATGTCCTCTTTAGGGATACCTTTAGGCAAATAAAAACCGACTTCTAAAGAGTGTACCAAATTTTGACATCTTTGTACTTGGGTCTGTTCCTTTTTTATCTTTAAGTATGTTAATTTTTAGGGGTTAACCACAACCATTTCATTTCTTTTCTTTCTTTCTTTCTTTCTTTTTGAGACAGGGTCTCACTATGTAGTGTAGGCTGGCGTCGAACTCATGGCAATCCTCCTGCCTCAGCCTGCTAAGTGCTGGGATTACAGGTATGCACCACCACACCCAGCACCACAATCATTTCTAATTTAAAAAATAAAAATAAGAAAAACTGTAAAATAGTTTTCCTAGGTAGAAAGGACAAATCTGAATTATCTAGATTATGCTGTCCAATATAGTAACCAGTAGCTACCTGTGGCTCTTGGGAATTCCAAATGTGACAAGTCAGAATTGAGAGG